TAAAGGACCTGCCTAGTATGGGCCAGCAGGCCTCCTGCAGTGTTCCTCCTTTCTTATGTTCTTATGTTCTTATTGCTGACTTCAGTCAACTGCGGGCCTCCTGGCTGCAGTTTTACTAGTCACTCAGATCCCTACGGACTTCAGTTACCTGCGGGCCTCGCTTAGTCTGCTGGTTTCAGTTATCGTGGGCCTCGGGACTTGGTTGCCTGTTGGCCATGCTGGACTCTATTACCTATGGGCCTCTGGTCGCAGTTTTACAGGCCTCTTCTGCGGACTTTTACCTGCGGGCCTCACTGGCCTCAGTGGACCTTGCTGGCCTCCGGCTGATTCTACCGGCGTGCATTGCCAGGCTAGCCTCTGAGGAGAAAGACGCTATGCGGGTGATACTGAGAGAAGGGAGTATTATAGCGCGGAGAGATGGTGTGTCGTGTGACACAGACGAAAAGGAGTGTTATAACAGAGACAAGGGTGTCATGTGGACACAGTAGAGATGGTGTGTTATAATGCAGAGACAAGGGTGTCGTATGACACGGTAGAGGAGTGTTATAACCCTGAAAAGGGTGTCGTCTGTACCCCGTGAGTGTCAGGTGACACGGTGTGAAATTATAATTATTATAGGATATATATATCTATACCAAAGATTGTTTTTATATCAATATTAAACATTATAAATTTTAGTTAATTTTGTATCCCGAACTCTTATGTTACTACACTGATATTAGGCCAATGAAATAAAAATACTCTATTTGTGTCGAGATGATGTAATAAGAAACCAGTGTTTGTAATAGCAGGCGAATCTGTCGCGTACGAAGACGGAGAAACACCACAAGGTGACGAGATGGAGAGACACCACGAGGTGACGAGATTGAGAGACACCACGAGGTAACGAGACTGAGAGACACCACGAGGTGACGAGATGGAGAGACACCACGAGGTGACGAGATGGAGAGACACCACGAGGTAACGAGACTGAGAGACACCACGAGGTGACGAGATGGAGAGACACCACGAGGTGACGAGATGGAGAGACACCACGAGGTGACGAGACGGAGAGACACCACGAGGTGACGAGATGGAGAGACACCACGAGGGGGACGAGAGAGGAGACACCCACGAGGTAACGAGAATGAGAGACACCACGAGGTGACGAGATGGAGAGACACCACGAGGTGACGAGATGGAGAGACACCACGAGGTGACGAGATGGAGAGACACCACGAGGTGACGAGACGGAGAGACACCACGAGGTGACGAGACGGAGAGACACCACGAGGTGACGAGATGGAGAGACACCACGAGGTGACGAGATGGAGAGACACCACGAGGTGAACGAGACGGAGAGACACCACGAGGTGACGAGATTGAGAGACACCACGAGGTGACGAGATTGAGAGACACCACGAGGTGACGAGATTGAGAGACACCACGAGGTGACGAGACGGAGAGACACCACGAGGTGACGAGACGGAGAGACACCACGAGGTGACGAGACGGAGAGACACCACGAGGTGACGAGATTGAGAGACACCACGAGGTGACGAGATTGAGAGACACCACGAGGTGACGAGATTGAGAGACACCACGAGGTGACGAGATTGAGAGACACCACGAGGTGACGAGATTGAGAGACACCACGAGGTGACGAGACGGAGAGACACCACGAGGTGACGAGACGGAGAGACACCACGAGGTGACGAGACGGAGAGACACCACGAGGTGACGAGACGGAGAGACACCACGAGGTTGTCCTGACAAAGCATCCTTCAGGGGAACGCGACCTGCCAGAAGCTAACGGTGTTACAGTAATTGGAAGAAAAGTTTTTATGGGTCCATTTAAGCAGAGAGTGCAGATGAAAATTCTCAGTCGTGCTACTCAAATTAGCCGAGTGGGTGTCAGACTCTGGGTACACACGTAATATGTTACTCAAACGTTAAACGAAGAAAAGACTTCCACGAAAACTGCAGGAATAATCCACCGTAAAAGAAATCTCAGCAAATATACATTGCCCTTTGTAGAAAGTCTTAGATTTCTTGAAGGAAAAACATAGACATTTTCGTTCATAAGTGAGTGAAGTTCCCAAAAATCTCCAGAATGTGAATGGAACAATCCGGATTATTTAGGACCTAAGAAAAAAAATAATTCATACACCATCTAGATAGGTATCGCCATACTTCATATAAAGTAGAAAGTTTTCCTGCATGTGAATATAATTCCGCTAGTATGGTCAACTATAGAGATAAAAAATGTAAGCAGTTATATAATCAGTGTATGGATGGCAATTTTAAGATTAATGTAAGTTGGGAGAACTATTATGATTCACTTGTTATTAGTAAACTAATATATATATATATATATATATATATATATATATTATATATATATTAAATATATATATATATATATATATATATATAGCATGAATCCAGTCAAATATATTATCAGATGTTTATAGAGTTCAGGTTATCAGTGGAACATCACTTTAATTCGGACATAACATTCAACGAAATTCTGAGATTCATAAGCTGCAACTGATCTTGTGTGAGAATTATTACACTCTGCTCCTCCATGACAGCCACAAAACATAAAAGTTTTATGATCATACTCAGAGTCGGCATAATGTTGTATCCATTATATTTTACATCCTGAATTAATATGATCACTTTCCGAAATGAACAGACCAACTTTGTAGACCGAAGCTTTCCGAATTTTAAGAGGGAAGAGGAGCTTTTCTTGAAATATCAGCAGTAATTCGTGGTTTTTGTGTTCCCTGATTATGTTGAATTTAAAAAGCTATTTCATCTTTCAGCTCTTTTTATCATGAGACACCTAATAGTTTCATCTTCGTCTCAACTTGCTATATGGCTAATGCATGCATAGGCTGGAGACTATTCTGGGAAAACACATTTGCATCACATTTGACTGCCACGTCTTGTGCTAGTTCTTCTCCATTTGGAATGATGTTTATGTCACAGTTGCTTTGAATCTCAGAATTTCATCTGATCATGAATCATCTCCAAATCTGTAAGATTTCTCACTAGGAAGTCTTGGTCAAAGTGTTCTGGTAATTTTATCATTAAAAATACTTTCTCCCCCATAGAGCTGTTCCACTTTGCTGTTGATATACCTTATGAAGCTTTTAATTAAAGAGATACAGAGACGATACATATTTTTGTCATATTCAGTGTTCAAGCTCTTTCCAGTATCTTATCTATTGGTTTGTCAACTTTCATTCTTCTTGACTGGATATTTCTCTTTCGACTGAAGGCCGACTTGCAATCTTTGTAGCACATTTCATCATCTGCATGATGACCGTCGATAGTTCCAGTCACTCGCAACCGTATGAACTCGACCGATTCATCATTACTTATTTTGAGAGTATTGAGAATTTCTTCCTTAATGTTTCTTAATGTAGCCCGCTGTCAGAAGTTCAGCACCGAACAACACGTTTTTCCACATTGGATGCTGTGAATCATCAGTTGTCAGTGAGCATTTTTTCTTACAGATAGAACAATCTTTGAAACTGAATTGGGATTATGACCACCTACTTAGATGCTTGACTTCACATTCTTCAGGGATTTCCTTTCGGTGTACCAAGTGACATTCGATATGAAATTTAAATGTGTACGTTGAGGCACAGTTCTTGTGTCTTCTGTAAAGTCAGCTTACAAGGTTTAGTTGATCTCTTTTCTCTAAGATAACCTCCCCGATTGCTTTCTGCCAGTTTGGGTTCAAGTAGTCTACGTTTGTTTGTTACTCTGACAGTTATTAAAGTTCTGAAGATTTCTTGTCTTTGGTGGAGATTCTGATTTCATCTTCTATTTCTGCTAATATATAGAATTATACTATGTATACAACGCCTCCACCATAATGTGGAATGTTTCTTGCATTCACTAAGTATGATACTGAATATTTAATATAAAATAGGTTATTTCCAATACCAGAATACTGAAAATACATTTAGGTTCAAAAATAATTTGTGTAAAAAAAATCAAATAAAAAATTAACAATAAGAAAATGTTAATTGGGTGGGTAAGAATGTAGCTCATAAAGTCATTGGGTCTTCTTCTTCGTCTTGATTCGCCGGTACTCTCCCGGCCCGGGCCTTTTCCAAGTGGTGGCCCGGCCTTGGCTCCCTTTCTCGGGAGTATCTCAGACTAATGTCTGCCATGGGAGGAGGAACAAGTACCTCCTCATCGTTGGGACCAACTGTCCCCAGGCCTAGCCACATTCCCCGTCCTCACGGGGCTCGTAACGAGAAGCTAGGCCTCTCTGGTCTGCCATCTTTTCCGCCCCAGGGGGGCTAATGGGAATGGCAGTCTTGTGAGCTGGAGGTGGTAGCAGGCTCGGGATCAGGCACCTACCCTGCCCTAGAAGGGCTGGGCATGGTGTCGATTCCCCTTCGGCTCTTGCTAGAGTTAATTAAAATAAATTGTAAATAACAGTTAAATATAAAATTATCATAAATTTCTCCATATCATGTGCTGGAAAATTTAACGAGAGGTTCCAATATTTTATTTTCATATTAATCTTAGTTTGTTGAAAATGTGTATCATTTAATTTTTTTATTCTTTTAAAAATGAGCGTATCCCCAGAAAATTTTATTTTTTTAGGAGAAATTCAGTATCTACTACAACATTTAGTTTTTATAAAGAAACATCACTTTTGACTAATGATATCTTTTGAAAAAAATTGGTTTTATTGGAAACCACTCTGAATTTCGATTAAAAAAATACCGACAATGACATGGTGTCATAAGTTAATTTTGTGATCTGGAGAGTCTTATCTACCAGAAACCATAAAAGCCCAGTTTAATTGCCAGACTAATGATGAATAAGTTCACTGTATTTTATAGACATTGATACCTTCTTGAAGCTAGCAGCGGTACCTCCTTCATCATTGTTATAATGTAGATAGGTATCGGCTAGTGTGAATGTGCATGTAAAGTTCAACACCACCTGCATTTTAGATATGAAGACCTTTCCTTACTATCAATTTTCAGAATTACATAAGGCCGGTTTGTCTACCGTGGGGACGGGAGACCTCTACTAACATAACGGGAAACAAGTTACAACTGACTGGATGGGGCGACACCTTATTTGGTCAGTCCATATGTTGATTTTAGAACAATTTCACTTACCTAATTTTAGTTGGGTAAACACATCATAGAGACTCTTGGGAAGAGGAGGTAATTAGTTTCCTAAAGGAAGAATAGGTTAGCTAGATTCCCTGACTATCCTAAAACTTTGTTTCCAATAATTTAATTCAGTATAAATATATAAACAGAAATTTCTCCTCACGTACAATTTCACACTGTAAATTAATAGATTAAGCATGAATTAATTCACAGAAAAAAAAAACTCTTTCGAAATAGCAGTCGAGTTTGTACATTCCATCTCTTGATTTATATAAGGCATTCCTATGAAATTTAATGAGCCAGGATTCAAATATCTTCATTTTCTTAATGGAACTATTGTCTACCATGACATGAGCTGCTGTCTGTCTTGGCACATAATTGCAAGTACTAATATGATTAAAGATTGCAATGGATTCCTGAGATGTCCTAACTTTAAACTGGTATTGGACCAGTCTAACTTCAAGTGGTTTACTTGTCTGCCGATGTACGAAAGATAGCATAGTGTGCATGGGACCTTGTAAACACTACCAACTATGTTGATTGGTGTATTATTAATCAAGGTCTGCTTCACTGCCTCAGTGTTCTTGAAGTCAATGTTTATACTGAAGCTTTTTAATGCATCATGCAGGCTGGCCAGACTCTCACTGTAAGGCAAAAATCAGAATATTTTTTCCTGGAAGGTTCCTAGGCTCAGTTCAATAGAAAGTCATCTTGGCTGCCAGTAATACCTTCAAACAAAATCTATCGGATATCTCAGGCTAGTGGCTATGTTGAATGTCTTATTAATTTCATTATCCAAATATTTCAGGAAAGAAATACGTAAAGTTCTCAAAAACATCATTAGGAAAATACTCAGTTTAACCCTAACCTTCACACTGTAAATTTAAATTTCTTGTCAGATCGATAGCCTAGAACATCTATGAAAGGCACGTGGTTATCTACTTTGTGCTGTGTTTTGAACATAATTGAGGACACTAAATTCTAGTCATTGAATAAACAAACTCAACTGCTATTTAGAGTAGTCAACTGTGCATGAACTTATGCAATGATGTTTATATAAAATCTCAAATTGTTTTGTACTAGATTCATAGTAACGGTTCCACTAGTGAATCGGATTCCCATACTGTAGTTACTAAACCGAGTGTTATATCCTCTGGTCAGTATTGTTGTTAGGCTCTCGTAGTTTCCTGTGCCACACGTTTGCCACTATGAGATAGCATTCCACCTGCTCGCCTACTATATGTGGAGTTCTATAGTAGTAGTAGTAAGTCTGCTTAGGCCCTGCATACTATTCGGCACGACATATATGTCAATTAGCAAGAACTCATTTAAAATTAAATCCTTTCTAAAATTTTCTTTTATACCTTTAAAGATATATATTTTTTTATTTATGTTTATATAAAAATTATTTTGTACGAAAAGAACCTTAGAAAACTTACCTAACCTTATTATAACAAGGTAAATATGTCTTAGATAAGTACAATAATTTAATAATAACCAAATACAATAAAATATATTTTCTCGTTAGGTTCAGAATGAATTTCCGAAATTAATGCATACACAAATTTTCGTTTGCCTTATTTAGCTTGAAGAGCGTTGCTATTTAAGCCAAAATTGTAAGTTGTTATATGTCCCTAAAAATGAATCTTCTTCATTCTTTGTGCTGTTAATGATGAACACTGTGAAAGATTTCATTAGAATATCAGTACATGATAAACACTTGTGACGGAAAACCACTAGCATCAACTACATCCTCAAATTTGAGAATGACACCTCAAAATTGATCCTTCCCACAGAGTATTCAGTCCATAACCAGAACCTCAAGATTGATCCTACCCACAGAGTATACAGTCCGTAACCACTACCTCAACATTGATCCTACCCACAAAGAATACAGTCCGTAACCAGTACCTCAAGATTGATCCTACCCACAGAGTATACAGTCCGTATCCAGGACCTCAAGATTGATCCTACCAACAGAGAATATAGTCCGCAACCAGGACCTCAAGATTGATCCTGCCCACAGAGTATACAGTCCGTAACCAGGACCTCAAGACTGATCCTACCAACAGAGAATACAGTCCGTAACCAGGGCCTCAAGACTGATCCTGTCTACAGAGAATACAGTCCGTAACCAGGACCTCAAGATTGATCCTACCAACAGAGAATACAGTCCGTAACCAGGACCTCAAGATTCACCCTGCCCACAGAGAATACAGTCAGTAACCAGGACCTCAAGATTGATCCTACCAACAAAGAATACAGTCCGTAACCAGGACCTCAGGATTGATCCTACCCATAGAGAATACGGTCCGTAACCAGGAAGATGAAAAGAGACGTCATCATAAACAGCTCTTAGATATTTCAAACGAGCTACGCTTAAAAAAAAAAGACAAACATTTTGAAGGTGTAACGTATCCTTGCAAAAGGCTGCGACATAGTACACACAAGACAAACCGAGAGACTCATAGTAAAGAACTCAAGTATCGCTGCTGTATTAGTGAAGATAATAACATTTGTGAAGTGCATGGAAACACTGCTTACATTTTCTAAACTGACAGCGGCTGAACTCAACATTACTGAAGGAAACCCGCACCACCAATTATAGGTACAAACACTTCCTCAGACCAGACTAGGATTGTAATTTCGTAGACTATGGGATACCCAGGTACCGCTTACTGTTTATTGTACTTGATCACTGATATCACAGTATGAGGACGTATGATTCATGCTAAATCAACAGTACTCTCTTCGCATTGAAGCTTCTCCCGACTAAGGACTATGTCAATTTCCTCAACCTAAAATTAAGATGTGATACGATTCCGCTGATTCAGTATAAGCGTCAGATTCAAGTTTCCTGATAAGAATTTCACAGCAAAAAGTTTTTAATTAGCTACGTCTTAATACAGGTAATGACATAAATCAGGTCATGCCAAAAGAGTTGACAAGCCGCAACAATCTCTTTAGTAGATTTTGACACGTGATTGTGCCTATCAGCAGTGTGGAAAAAAACTGGGCCACTGATGCTGAGATTTCTCATTCCTGACTGATTTCATGAATGAACAAAATAATCTGTCTTGAGTGCATAATATTCTTTTTTATCTTAACCCATAAAAGAGTTTTCTTATGTCATCCAGAATTATGTGAAATGCTTCTCCAGTCTCAGTATCCAGCTGTAGCGGATGTGCTTTTTCGTGGAGGCTTTCACCTGTCCCACACCAAAAGCATCCATAATCAGCACGAGTTTAAATGTGTGTTTAATCAGAAGCACCACAACAGGAATCACAGTATCTTCTGATACTATACGAATATATTTCTCCTATCTAATATTAAAACTGTTACTTAAATGGGAAAGATGCTTGCCACAATAATAAAAAAATATGAATTACCTTTTATGAAAATTAACAATAGGATCTTGTTCAAAACTCTAAAATGAAAATCACAATGAAATACCATATCATTGTCTACATAACCAGAGAAACCAGAAACTTTGCTACCAGATCCAAATAGCTACAAAACACATAAATTTATAAATATAATATATCAGGTAATGAGGCTCAGCTGCTAAGTATGTATATGGAACGTATTAAGAAACTGGTACCTAGTAGGTGCTATTATTATAATCAAGGGGGAGCTCTAAACCCGTAGGATTATGCAGCGCCTGTCGCGGGGGGGGGATGTGGAAGGTATTCAGGAGCACAGATCCAATTCCCAAGATCAAGAGTCCCACACCAACATCAAGGAATCTTCCTTGAGGGTACCTAGTAGGTGTTGATGCTTCAGATGGCAACAGTGTCTGCTATATGCTATGGGCTATAAAGAACAAATTTTCCCTATTTTTTAATCATTATATTTTAATGAATAACAGTTACAGGTATGAAAATGGTTTCCTTTTTTTAAAAAGTGAATATATATGACTAAAAAAATACAGATTTCTTATTGATCAATGATTTACAATGTAACATTGATCTCTTAGTATTCCTATGTAATATCATTCTTATTCATTTTCCTGTATTAATTTATAACTATGAATTATTCAGTCTTCCTTCACGCCAGTGAATTTTGTATTTATTCATTTATAACAGCCTACAGGAAATATAATTAGCATAAGTAATTATATTTTAGAAAGAACTATCTTAACCCTATTTCAGTAGTAGCTATTTTGATAATTACATCATTGTTATTCAGCTAGGGAAAATTTTAAAGAGGATTTTTCCTTAATTCACATTCTTGTTTATATTATATTAGCTAATTTTTTTTCCATTCCAAACAATTCTCTCCTGGTTTCATATTTTAAATGAAATATGTTTTACCAGGAGACATTCTTTAATATGCAAGCATAAACGTTCCATCAAGACGGCGTTTTTTTTCCAGCCATCACTTGCAAGGTACAGCTGTTCCACTTAACACCGTACATAAGTAACTAGTCGATAATCCTTACTGTATCAATATTGTCTATATTCGAAGTGGATTATCCTATCTAATATATCCAACTTATGAATATCAAATAATTTCAAGTAAGTCAATAGAATTATCTCTACATCTTTTATTAAAAGATTATCGGGAATATAACATTGAACTGAAATGAGAGACTGTATAACCAAATAACTGAAAAATATTCATTATCAAAATGGAAATCATTATTGAAACAAAGTTCACTTTTTTTCATTTCTACAAAGAGTATGTGATAATCCTTTGTTTAATTGGCATACAATTATCTCTGCCTTATTAATAACACAATAATATCCCATCATATCGTTTTCTGAAACTTCTACAAGATTTAACTGTACTAATACAAGTTTGTGTGTTTCCAGGTGGTTCACCGAGCTCAGTTCTGCAAGAAGTAAATATAACTATATTTCCATCTTCAAAATGCGTTAAGAGTTATTCCAAGCTACAGGAATACTCAACCACTTGGCCTGAGGGTATAAATGAAGAAACAATCTGTGCTGGAGACCCGGAAGGTGGAAGAGATGCTTGTCAGGTAACACATCGTCAAGTAAAACAATATTTACACACACACACACACACACACACACACACACACACACACACACACACACACACACACGATTATTATTATTAACAATTATTAGTATTATTATTAACGATTATTAACAACAACCAGCACGGATTCATGGAAGGCAAATCCTGTGTCACAAACCTTCTGGAGTTTTATGACAAGGCAACAGAAGTAAGAAACGAGAGAGAGGGATGGGTTGATTGCATTTTCCTGGACTGCAGGAAGGCCTTCGACACAGTTCCTCACAGGAGATTAGTGCAGAAGCTGGAGGAACAGGCACGTATAACAGGAAGGGCACTGCAATGGATCAGAGAATACCTGACAGGGAGGCAAGAACATGGTCATGGTCAAGGTATCACAGTGGGCTCCTGTGACAAGCGGGGTACCACAGGAGTCAGTCATAGGATCAATGCTATTTTTGATATATGTGAATAACATGGTGGAAGGGATACACTCTGAAGTGTCCCTGTTCGCAGATGATATGAAGCTAATGAGAAGAATTAAATCGGATGAGGATCAGGCAGGACTACAAAGAGACCTAGATAGGCTGGACACGTGGTCCAGCAACTGGCTTCTCGATTTCAACCCTGCAAAATGCAAAGTCATGAAGACTGGGGAAGGGCAAAGAAGACTGCAGACAAATTATAGATTACCTGGTGGACAAAGGTGGACAAAGGATGTAAACCTCATTCAAGGAGAAAGATCTTGGGGTGACCATAACACCAAGCACGTCTCCCGAGGCACACATCAACCAGATAACGGCTGCAGCATATGGGCGCCTGGCAAACCTGAGAATAGCGTTCCGATACCTTAGTAAGGAATCGTTCAAGACACTGTACACTGTACACACGCCCATACTGGAGTATGCAGCACAAATTTGGAACCCACGCCTGGTCAAGCACGTCAAGAAATTAGAGAAAGTGCAAAGGTTTGCAACAAGGCTAGTTTCGGAGCTCAGGCTGGAATACTGCTGTACATTAACATCTCCATTCAAAACAGGTGAAATCGCAGATCTAGAGAGTGTACAGAGATCCTTTACTGCACGTATAAGTTCTGTCAAGCACCTTAACTACTGGGAACGCTTGGAAGCACTTGACTTGCACTCGTTGGAACGGTGGAGGGAGAGATATATCATAATCTACACTTGGAAAATCCTGGAAGGAATGGTCCCAAATCTGCACACAGAAATCACTCCCTACGAAAGTAAAAGACTGGGCAGGCGATGCAAAATGCCCCCAATAAAAAGTAGGGGCGCCATTGGTACACTTAGGGAAAACACCATAAGTGTCCGGGGCCCAAGACTGTTCAACAGCCTCCCATCAAGCATTGGGGGAATTGCCAATAAACCCCTGACTGCCTTCAAGAGAGAGCTGGACAGATACCTAAAGTCAGTGCCGGATCAGCCGGTCTGTGGCTCGTACGTTGGACTGCGTGCGGCCAGCAGTAACAGCCTAGTTGATCAGGCCCTGATCCATCGGGAGGCCTGGTCATGGACCGGGCCGCGGGGGCGTTGATCCTGCAAAACAATGAAATCAAAGAAACACGTTTATTAGGAAAACAAGGTAGTAGACACAGTATTATGATCAGACTTTATTCATATGATAAAAGACAGGACCTAATTAAATCAACAATTACAATGAAAAATGGAGTGTACATCAACGAGTGTCTAACAAGAAAACGTCAAAACCTTCTGGTCAGGTTGAGAAAACTTAAACAGGAAAACAAAATACATCAGTGTTTCACTTGAGATGGGAAAATAGTAGTTAGGAAAACATCAACAGGACAACAATACACCATCTCAAACGAACATATTTCTCTACCTTCCTTAGAAAAGCTGACATTTCTGTAACATTAGATAAGTGTCCTTAACACATATATACGTGTGGTGCATAAAGTGTACCTTACTATTATATTATTGTGATTTTTTTACCAGCTAATACCAGCTACCTCAAATACTTTTTACTTCTTTTTAATTGCTATTAATTGCTCAAATTTTGTGTTGCAAGTCAAATCTTACTCCTAAATTAATGTCACTCATGGTTGTTACCTGTCCATTTAATTTAGTTTACCACTACTTATTTTAGTTCCATTTATATTGTTTGGTGCAATTAGTGTATATTCCAATTACTTTATTGTGCAACTCCCAGAACTATCATTTACTAGCTAGTACCAACTACCACATATTTTTTTTTACTTTTTATAGTGCTATTAATTGCTCAAACTTATTACATATTACAAGTCATATTGCTCTCCTAAATCAATATTATATCATAGTGACTATCTGTCCATTTAACTTTGTTTACCATTACTTAGTTTAGTCCCTTGTATATTTTCTCCTTTATTTTAGTTTTAAATAACTACCTTAGTTCATATATTCACAATTGTTAAAATAATCAAGGTGCTATTTTCAGGTGCTAAAGTGTAATACATTCATTATTTTAATATCATATTCCCTAGCTCCCTTATTTTATTACCACTTTATTTGTTCACCACTACTTATTTAAGTCCCTTTCATACTGTCTCCTTTATTTTAGCTTTAAAGAACTACCTTAGTTCATATATTTACATTTGTTAAAATAATTCAGGTGCTATTTTTTAGCTTTAGAATATTTACTTTGTCTTATACTTAAGTCTAATTATAGATCCACTATAAATCTTATGATTACAAGCATTGATCCTGATACCAACCTCTTATTGAATGACTTAAATGAATCAAACAGTAACTGTAATTACTACACCGCAGAACAAAGGCACTTCTCAGAGCCAACAACAACATAACTGTCTTTAACTACAATGTCAGATCTTCAAGCAAACATTACGATGACCTAACAACATTTCTAAATTCCCTGCATGCCAGTGTGTCCACCATTACTCTCACTGAAACCTGGCTAAAGCCTGATACTACAGATGTCTTTGCCATTCCTGGTCACACAGCCATACACAACTGTAGGCCAGATCAACAAGGGGGTGGCACAGCCATATACTACTCAGACCAACTAGAATGTATCATTAATACTTGCACAAGGGATGAACATGGGGAATATATAATAGCTAAATTCAAATACCTACAAAAACCTCTCAGAGTGATAAACATCTACAGAGTACCACAGTCAAACATTAGCCGTTTTAGTGAAAATCTAGCAAGTATGATAACTGATGCACACATGAATAAATATCACTTACTACTCTCAAGTGACTTCAGTATAAATCTCCTGCAAGACCAGGACCCACACGTTGCTGAATTCACAAACACTATGAGTAATTGCTTGTTGCTACCAACATTAACAAAACTTACAAGAATTACAGAGACTAATGTTTCCCTATTAGACCACATCTGGACCAACACCATATCACCTTTAAAATCAGGCATAATCAAAGATAATACCACAGACCACTACCCTACCTTTCTCATAACCAGTCTAGGTAAATTACCCCAAGACACTACTAAAGTAACCTTCAGACTTCATAATGAGGCAGCCATTAATAACTTCACAACAGCAATAACAAACATCGACTGGCTAACTGAGCATGAAATCTATACAGATACTGATGAATGTATTAATAATTTTCTAAAAAATACCCAATACCTCTATAACAAGCACTGCCCTAAAATAACAAACTGATCACGGCTAAGAGACTGAACAGTCCCTGGCTAACACCCAGCATCCTCAAATCCATAAATATAAAGCACCTATATGAAAAACAGTACAGAATGGGTCACATAACCAGAGACCAAACAAAACGTTACTCATCAATCCTAACCAGCCTGATAAGAAAGGCAAAAAAAATTGTATTATGAGAACAGATTATCCAACTTAAAATGTGATATAAAAAAAGACCTGGAAAACCCTATCTGAAATTCTAGGAACAAAAAAGATATCAGGAAACAGAGCAATCAAACTAACAAAACCAGATGAACCCCAACTCTCACCAACCGAAACAGCAAACAGACTCAATGTTTTCTTCTCCACCATAGGAAAAAACCTTGCCGATAAAATCCCAAGCTCAAATACCCCACCCAATGACTACCTCACTGGCAACTACCCGAACACACTGTTCCTAGCTTCGACTAACCCAACAGAAGTCTCCATTATTATCAACACACTAAAAAACAAGACAGGAGATTTAAATACCTTACCACCCTTTATATACAAAAAAAGCTTTGCAAGTGCTGTCACCAATTATTGCAACGCTCTTTAACAAATCCATCAAATCCTCTACCTTCCCCACAGTTCTCAAAATAACGAGATTCACCCCGATACATAAAGGAGGAGATCAGACTTGAATAATTAATTCATAAGCGAATCTATTCCTACCTCATCTCCCACAACATACTCAACCCCTGTCTGCTTGGGTTCAGGCCTAATAAAAACACGAATGATGCTATTGTACACATGCTAGAACTAATATACACTGCACTCGAGAAAAAAGAAGTCCCACTGGGGATCTTCATTGATTTACGTAAAGCTTTTGATACAGTTGACCATGACTTGCTCCACATAAACTTATCACACTATGGTATAAGAGGGCACTCCCTCAACTACCTAAAGTCATACCTCAGCAACAGAAGCCAATATGTGTACACAAATGGAGCAAACTCTTCCACACAGCCAATTACAGTTGGAGTCCCACAGGGAAGTGTCACCAATGCTTTTCTTTTTGTACAACTATTATCATGCCCAAATAATAAATAATAAAAAATAATATGCATTAGAAGTGGACAAGATTTCAAAATACTCTGTTTTACCACGGCGATAGATTTAACCTCTATTGATTTTCAAAATGCTGAGAAAGTTGTATCTAGCCCTGAAGATGGCCCAACCGAAGAATATAATATTAATAATAATAATAATAATAAAATAATAATAATAATAATAATAAATAATAAAATAATAATAATGAGTGTAGTACCATCCAAATGTTATGGTATAATTATTACAAGATTCGTGTACTTTTGCCTC